TTCGAATCACTCCAAGTCCCCGTGTCCCCATGATAATCACGTGCGCACCCACTTTCTCCGCCTGTTGCACGACTGCTGGTCCCACTCTATCAGCTGGTTGACTCAAAAATCCACAATTCAATGCGACGGCCCTGCCTTCAGCCACATAGTCATCCTCCAGTCGCCTCACTGACTCAATACGGTTGGTCATGATTTTGCTCCACTCCTCCACGGGGATTGAGGTTGGATTTGTGAAGTTCACAGATGGCAGAGAGGGTGGTTCGATGACGTGGAAGAACAGAACTGCATCATCTGGACGGCGAAACCACTTCAGGTACCACTGGAATGCAAACTTGGCGTTTTCTGAGCCATCAACGGCGAAGAGAACCTGCCTCCCACCAGGGGATGCGATGCCACTGCGAGCGTTCATGATTTTGCAAATGCCAGCCCATGGTTCAAGGCATTGGCGCTTTTAAGGACGCAGGCTGCATGCTTGGCCTGATTGGTTAATGCGTTGTCCAATAGAATCTGCGTGTGATCATCAGTGGTCGCGTTAAGCCCCTTATAGGAGCGAAAGAAAGTTACTTTACACCTTTATTCGTCCACGTCTCGTGACTCAGTCACGTGTAAGATAATGCGGATGTAGGTCAGCTAGGCCGATCAATGAGCTTGTCCTCACTGGCACTTTTGTTAATGTCGTCTAAACACCATTGGGTGATGGCGGTGACATGACAGAATATCCCAGATTGCGGCATCGCAGAAACTGGTCGTAGAAAAAAAAAGCTTTTTACTTAATTTGTGTTAGAGAGCGTTCCGCAGTCACCATCTGACCGGTTGTCAGGATTTCGTAATAAAGCGCATTCTTCATGTCCCCACACCAGGTACACAGGAGAACATTCTTCATTAAGTGGATATCCGATTTCGACGTCGATGTACTGGGTTGTCGATATCTAACCACCAAGTTTGCGCTTAGGTTACTCGTAAATAAAACGCTTTTCATCACTTGTCACAATTTTCCACAGGAAGTCCATTCTTGTTGCTTGTTTGCAGGCGTTGAAGGGAAGTGTTTATACGTTGACTTAGGTTGTGTTCGTTCAACTGCCAAGTTTTTGCATTTTCCTAATTTGGAGGTGCAAACGCATGGAAACAGCATTTTGGGTAACTCGTAACTCAGCTGCCCCAAGCTCGTGATGCCCTTGAGTTGAGTCTTCATGTATTAGAGCTTGCAATTCCGCATCTCCACATTTTCAGGGCTGCTTTCCCTTGACGTGGCTGATTACAAAGGTCGAAATCAGCGCTTCTGAAACCCTTGTGGCAATAACCGCACGTTTCAAAAGACTCAACGTCAGCAGCACCAGAAACACTGCAAATTGATGCCTTCCATGTTGGAATTCGTATAAAGTGCAGTGCCATTGAATGTGCTGTTTAGAAATTGCCACTGTAAACTCTGCTAGTCTGAAAAATGATGTGACTCATGTAGGCTCATCCCCCGGTGTTCTAAAAGACCTTCCGTCCTATTCTTTCAAAACCACAAAACACCGTGAAAATATGTCTATTTTAAATATAATTTCAACCTCCATGAGAAAAATCTGTTTAAGTAGTCAAAAGTAAGACGAAGTTAAAATGCGATAGCACAAAATAACTTGAAAAAATGCGAGGCTGGCAACGGAACCTATCTTGTCAGGTATCCTGCTAAACATCAATGGGAGACTGACTTAGACTATCAAACGACAAATCACACAGCGAAACGAACTCACCATTCTTCACGACGTTACAAGGAGGAGAGTTGGACTTTTCAGCAAAACACACCGCAGCATTAAACGTAGACTCAATTGCAGCTCGCACAGGCGTCGTAAAGTACGTCTCATTGTCCGTATTCTCGAGCGACAGCAGCAAGGCGCACAGAGCGCAGACCTCATTGGGATCATTGGCGATCACATCGTCGGAAAGACTCACTCCAGACCCGAGGGTCCTCATCATTGCCTTAAGATGTTCCAGCTGTTGGCGGCGAGCATCAGAGGCAACCTTGGCGGCGAGACTGGCGCTGGCGAAGATGACTTGCAGATTGGGGGGTTCGTCTTCTTCCTGATTGGGTACTTGCAGTTGTGGAGCTCGAGGCGGAGTGAACAGTTTATCAATGAGAGCAAACTATGTTGTGAAGAAAAGACGAACTTCGATGAAGCCACAACATCCCGCGGTTACATTATTTTACAGAAGGTGTTTACTTCCGTGCCTCATGCTTCGTTTACCTGTAATGGCCACGTACAATGAGGACGTTTCGTAATCCGATTAAGCCTTAATAACTATAACCACGTGGACACGCTTAAACATTGTTAAAAAAAAGTCAGACATTGTTTAAACGGGGAATAATTGTTCATGAAGAACAGACGCAGAACTCCAAAAACATGCAACATCGAAATGAATGCAAACGATAAGTACAAAGCTTCTATAAAACACCATGGCACAGTTTAGGGAGAAATTAATGCAAAAATATACCTGCTCGGGATTGTAATATTCGCGAAACGGATCAACGGTAGAAAATGCATCGAGATCAACATCGAGAATAAAGACTTTGTTGAGAAGTACATCCATGATGTCAGTGCAAGCTTTGCACAACGTGCTTAACTCATGTATTGTGCCAACAGTAAGACCAAATGGGATGGCCGAATCCATTTCATGAAGAAGTGCAAAGGCACCGTCGTTGTAGAAGTAAGGTTCGGGAATACTAACACTAAAACGTGAATCGAATAGCCGGGGAGATTGCGAAAACTGATTCAGGTATGTCCGTCTCTACGCCATTAAATTTCTTAAATCATCTTAAATCACAAATTGCTCCGATCGGCTGACGAAAACGATGGTATTCACTAACCGCTTAGTAAAGCAACAAGAGGCAGTTACATATAATATATTGCAGAAGGTCAGTGGATAGCAGTCTGTAAAGCCAGGATAAAAGAATGTAAAACCTTATTCATAGTCCTTTAAAAATAACAAGACAGGATCATGACTGGAATTTGTAGGCGTAATTTGTAATTAAAATGCCTGACTAATAAGTACAGACTTACCACAATGAGTCAGAAAATTTATGACGGCCGACAAAGTATCTGGTAGAAAGTCGATTCATGAGCTGAGTTGACCACGATGGGTGCAGCCAAACAATGTGATCGAAGTGTTTTGCAAATACAGCGGGTAAAATCCAGTTTTCTATGTGAAGCTGACTAAAATTATGACAAAACCACCCAAAGCGTACTTCAGTAATTCATGGGGTTGAGATAAGATTAAGGAAGGTGAAAGAGGTGGGACACATAAGTCAGGATGTGAATCAATATGCAACAATTTAATGCCAGTAAGTGGTAGTTTTTTTGCACCAATGCACCGGTAAATGTGGGAAAGTGCCTAGAAGCGGAAGCATTATTGGAAAATACACTCTACCTCATTATGACTCTCTATTACAAAAACCTTTATCTTGCGTTGGGGCGAGATATTTCTTTCCTTTATGGGAAGAATTTGGCATTCAACAAGAGATTGTTGAGCATATCCGGCAGAAGTAGATGATGACAACTCACCTTCCGACCGCATTAAGTTGTTAAAAGGAATTAAGAAATCGCGAACACAATCACATATACTAACAAAACCATACTGCAGCACAAATAAATATGAATGCCGAGGACAGTGGCATTGAAATGAAAAATGTTTGACATTCTCATTTAGTAGATTCTAAAATTTCCGTTTGTTAAATAAGGTAATAAGTTAAAAAATATTAAATGATAAGTATTTTTGGAAAAAAGTAATATCAACAATGAAGATTAGCGCAATTTTCGCTAACAGTTTTAAATGGGGTTTAATTAGGAATGGAATTTTTTTTAACTTTAGTGTTTCATGGCATATATCTGGATTCATAAATTTGTATTTAGCTTAATGATTGGTGAAACATAACGGTTTTCCTCGGTGAGTATGTAGTTGTGGGCTTGCAAGAAAGGTATGCGTTGCCTTAATTACTATGAATTTGTAAATTAATGTTTTGCAAGTCAACCTGAAAAAATTATCCTGATTAGAACAAAGTGAACATGGAAATGTAACTACCGCTATCAAACGTTTTTTTCTAATTTCATCCATCGCTTTAAAAGCCATATTTATTGGGATTCAGATGGTGTTTGTTTAATGTAGTTATTTCTGTTTTAGTTAACTTTTACGGTGTTAATGTATTGTAATCTAATAGTCTAGATTGAAATTCGTTCATGTGTCTATCTGGTGTCAGCAACCCATCCATTACAATCGTTGGTTGAGATTGACAATGAATAATTACGCTCACGGAACCTCGCAGAAACTCATGCTTGACTGGCCAGCATCAAAGAAAACATCGTATCTAAAGTCACCTATCTTATCTGTATTTTTAAGATGTCAATAACAGTTATTCAGAAGGATTGCAGGGTAACTCTAAGAAATACTAGCATTTCGTGATTCTACCAATTAGTGATTTTGTTCTGAATTTTGACAACAATGCATAATTTTATGGCTTTTGACGCCTGTTCACAGTACAGCATGGCATTTAATATTTCCAGCGACTAAGCGTTGTTAATGAAAATTTGGGCTTTTTTCCGTAACCATGTCATTAAGTCGCATATCCTTATGTATTCACATGTTGCATTGATATCAAAGATGTACTAACGGAGATTTTGAACTGACTTGATCCAATACGTTCCAAAAAGCGCAATGAAATGTTTATGGCTTCTGTTCCCACACGAATAACCACCTTGAACAAAACCTGTATTTGACATCCACTTCCTACTTTCGAATTTGTTGTTAGATCTCATTCTAAACTAGAGTGGCATTTGCTCATATTGGAATAAATCGAACAATCATTGCTGTACACACGGATGAAATCACCACGCAAAAAAAATTAGCCCACCGTTGGTGAATAATATATACAAATTTTACATCTGACCTAAGAAAAAGTTTAATAATCAAATCATCCACTCTGGTTCCGAAGTAAGCACGAAGAACTTAGGCATTAAAAGGTCGCATAATTATCAAACTCTTATTTAAAATTGTTCAGGGCATCCTTCGCGACTATACCGTTTTTTCCGTTTTTGCTAATCCACTCAATCCACGAAACCTATTTTGATGCACATTTTTTCACTCAATGGCCTACATATTCTGAACAAACGCTTTAAGTAAACTCAACAACCAAAAAGTAACGGCAATGACTGTCTTCTGCAAGATTTTTTGTTGTCTGTTTTACGCCATTGAATCAGTTACCTGTAGCATTCTATTATAACTTGTAACAAAGTTATTTCAATACCACTTCAATTTGACAAATAACAACTCAGAGCATCCAATTTGCAATTTTAATAATCAAAAAATTCCTAAATATCGATAATCGTCAGGAAGTGTTTAATCAAATATAATTCGATTTGTGATTTGTTGAAATTTAGACAACTCAAAGCATTCATCGATAATACCGTAGACAGTAAACCAATACAACACTACGCATAAGGTACTGTTTAAAGGTGAAATGGTTATTCAAGGTATATTACATTTAATGCTAAAAGACTGTAAGGAGAGGTAAAAGTAACAAATATATTTTCTGGGTTAACTATAAACTTTCGCACTAAACTCTACCTATCAACCCTGTACGGACTAAAATTTACACACTGATTAAGCTAAAAATAGTATAAATGGCGCCTACTTGTTAAATAAAAAAATGATTTTACACAAACATGGAAATATTGTTAATTGTGCGCCAATAATTGCCGGAATTAGTTTAATTGAAGTATTGATTTCAGCGCCTTCTTTGAAGTTTGCGAAAGCTTTTGGGATGCTGGGTTATTCTTCACGCAGAGTCCTCTCCCTTGGGCGAATTGCAAAATGTAACTGTGAAAGCGACTTATTATTTTGCTGTGTGCAATATCTTTGCTACCTATGACTTTTGAAAGTGCTTGCGCTATTCCATAAAGAAGGTTTTTTTCATGTATTTTGCTTTGTGAATTGGTGATGAATCCCATTCCACAATGGTTGAGGTTACGCGACACACCTGTGTTGGTCGCATAGTTTAGTATCCTGGCTGCATATAGCTTTGACCCTTAAATTTTAAGCCGCGTCGTCCCAGGTATTTAATACGACCCGATACGAGCCCTTCCTTGTTTATCGTGATGTTGTACTTTTTTTCCATTAGTTCCTTTAGGCCATTGTATGTACCTTACAAGTGCACCTACGTCATTTTTATAGCTTGCATCGGTTCAATTTGGTTGTATCCACCTATTAAATGGACCACCTTAATTGCTGTAACGACATGTTTTTTTTATTTAGCAACTGCAAGATGGAAATTTCCTAACCTTATGCGGGATGCGCGTTTGGCGACAGCAGCAACAGCGAATACTACTGCGAAACCAAGCGCTCCAACACCACCACCAAAGCCTGCCGACAACATGGTTGAGGTCTTCGTTGACGGAAAATCTGTTTCCTGCGAACCGGGTATGACCGTTTTGCAGGCTTGCAGTCTTGCTGGTGTTGAGATCCCACGGTTAGTTTTTCCACTGCTCTTTTTACCGTGCGTCCCAGGTCTGACATTGTGTTGATCTTATTTCAGATTTTGCTATCACGAACGACTTTCAATCGCAGGTAGTTGTAGAATGTGCTTAGTGGAGGTTGAGAACTCAATAAAACCTGTCGCCAGCTGCGCTATGCCCATATGGAAGGGAATGCGCATTAAAACAGATTCAGAGATGACTCGGAAGGCTCGGGAGGGTGTCATGGAATTCCTCTTGGTCAACCATCCTCTCGATTGTCCCATTTGTGATCAAGGCGGTGAATGCGATCTCCAGGATCAGGCAATGGTTTTTGGCTCCGACCGCTCTCGTTTCACTGATAACGCCTTCTCTGGCAAGCGTGCTGTGGAAGACTTTGATATGGGGCCCCTTATTAAAACATGCATGACTCGCTGCATCCACTGCACTCGATGTGTTCGCTTTGTCAATGAGGTCGCTGGGTTGTCACATCTTGGAACCACTGGCCGTGGAAACAACATGCAAATTGGCACATACGTTAATCGAATGATTGAAAGTGAACTTTCAGGCAACGTTGCTGATCTTTGTCCGGTAGGAGCTCTTCTTTCCAAGCCGTATTCTTTTGTCGCGCGCCCTTGGGAGACCAGGCGAATTGAGTCGATTGATGTAATGGACGCTGTTGGTTCGAATATCGTCATTTCCATGCGCACAAACGAGGTCCTGCGCATTCTTCCTCGACTGAATGAGGCCATAAACGAGGAATGGTTAGCCGACAAGTCGCGCTGCGCTTGCGACGGTCTCAAGCATCAGCGCCTTGTTGTTCCCATGCGGCGACCTGCAGGCCGAGAATTGCACGAGCGGTCCTCGTGGGAGGAAGTCTTAGTTGCTATCGGCGAGCGTTTCGTTTCCCTGGGCTCGTTTAACCCCCCCAAGTGTTCCCCCAATCAAGTGGCTGTCATCGCCGGCCCGTTCACTGATGCTGAAACCCTAACGGCCGCTAAGGATCTTGCGAGCGCGATGCACTCTGACCTTGTCTGCACAGAAGAGCGCTTCCCGTCAATGAGGTTAGCTGTCACTCTGAGTGCTGAATGTGATTGCCTGATAGTTTATTCATTAAGACTTATTGGTACGTAAGACACCAGTCAGTGATATTTGTGTTATCCGAATGTGGGCATTTTTGTGTCGCCTCATGTACATTCTAATTACTGACTGTCTTTTCGCTTACCAACAGAACGAAGGTTCGAGCGAATTACTTGTTCAATTCTCAAATTGCTGGCATCGACGAGGCAGATTTGATATTGTTTATCGGCACCAACCCGCGTTATGAAGCACCAATGATCAACGCTCGTGTTCGAAAGAATTGGCTTAACAACGAATTGGATGTAGCATTGATTGGTGAAAAAGTGGACCTTACCTACGACTATGAGGTGATCTTTTGTGTTTGTGAGCTAAAATGTGTCAGAAGGCTGTACAAATGTCTGAAACATCTATTTGTTTTACTTGCGTTAATACTTTGCTTGTAAGATATTTCATTTGCATGCCAAGGCTTGTTGTTGATGCAACATTTCCGGAAACCTCCGAATCAGTTTATTCGGTAATTGGGCCAGTGAACTGACGCTGCATTCGATTCCAAGATGATAGCCTCTTGGAAATTGCCCGTCTGCTGTTAATTCTTCTTAGCCGCAAATTACTTCGCCTGCACTCCTAATTCTAGCAGAAATCTTTTTCAGTTTAATTCTTGTCGAAATTTAATGCGAAATCGCTCGATTGCATTTGTGAGACTGGGATTTTAAGTTAATGAATTCGCTTGATTTCGCTTTTGTTGACTGCTTTTATTCAAAGCTTAGTAATTGGCTTTCACTGTTTTGATCCCTTATTTCTAATTCTAGATTATCTAGACATTAAATCCAAGTTTATGCCCTGGTTTCATTATGTACTGTGCAAGGGCACGCCCACGTTGTTAAGTACGGTGCATTCTAATTCTGTGCGTGTTTTCTTAATTCTCCAGCACCTCGGTTCTTCGACTTCTGCCATTCTCGATATAATATCCGGAAAGCATCCTTTCTCCAAGGTAAATAACCAATCATTTCATAAAATGTGACGTCACCATGCTTAGGCAGTTTGTTCTCGACTGTGGAAATTCAACAGTATCGCCTGGTATGTGTCAAACACTCTTAAGTCTCCACAGCATTTAGTGAAGACGCTACCTGCTCTTGTTAAGTGTGCGCCCAAAAGATCGATTCATGTCCCCTTCCATACCCCATTACTACCCATCTAGCGTCTTGCGTCAGCCAAGAATCCAATGATCGTTGTGGGCAGCGAGTGCCTTCAGCGTCCCGATGGCGCGGCAATTCACAACGCTGCGCTTCATTTGGCGTGCAAATTTGCGCCTTCGCCTGAGATCGGCGTCGCGCGTTTCAACGTGCTCCACCGCTACGCCAGCCAAGTGGCCGCCATGGATCTCGGCTATCACGGTGGCCTTGACAAGGTTAAGAACGCCAAACCCAAGGTCGCCATTCTCCTGGGTGCTGATCAAGGTCAATTCACTCGAGCTGACCTACCTGAGGACTGCATGGTCATCTACATCGGTGCGTCTTAACACTAACCTTTCAATCGTTCTTGTCGGTGGTTCACTGTTCGTTCCTACGAGTGTTTCTCTTTGTTGTCAGGTCACAACGGCGACCACGGGGCAAAGATGTCGGACATAGTCTTGCCCGGTGCCGCGTACACCGAGAAACACGGCACCTACGCCAACTTGGAGGGTCGTGCGCAGCGCACCTACCCAGCCGTAGCACCGCCTGGTGACGCACGTCAGGACTGGGCCATAATACGGGCCATTTCAGAGGTGGCCGGTTGCCCACTCCCCTACGACGACTTGGAGGGTCTGCGTCGACGAATGCGTGAGCTCGCCCCTGGTCTACTCGAGGTTGATGTCATTCAGGCGGCCAGTCCTTCGTCTCTCAAACTTGCTGCCGACGACGCTAAAGTGAGCGGTTTTGCCAAAATAGGGACGTTTACATGCCTAAAATGCTCCCATGATATCTCGATGTGGTGTTTTGGGTCATTTTTAGAACCAATTTCCGAAAGAATCGAAGAATCTTGACACTAAGACGCCACTGAGTCCGTCCATGAAGGAGCTGCATCAGTACTTCATGACTGACGCCATCAGTAGGGCTTCTCCGACAATGGCTCGCTGTGTCAAGGCCTTCAAGTCCCATGTTGCCCCGCCGAACGCCAGCTTCAACGAATGATGCATGGTGACTGCTACGAGACGTGTTTAGATGAATGCTAGAAATAGTACAACTAGGCTTCTGACACTTTTTTCCACAAAAATGTAATTGTTTGTTAACTTTATCACAACCTCCCCTCACCTCCAAGTAGTTTTTGCGTCGTTGGTGCCTGTCGATTGCTGTCCGCGTATCAAGTGATGCTCTTAACCTGTAAAGTGTTCTCTTATCCTAAATTGTTTGAAAGGTTTGGGAAGAATCTGTGGAGGCCAGAATGTCACCACAATTATTTGGGTGCTTAACATTAACTCCAAACTGGATGTTGCGTGTGCATAACGTGGGAATCCACTTCTGGCTCACGTCACAAATAACTGAAACAGTAGTATTACATTCCCTGGACACCAGCATCTTTCCCTCTCACATTCCTAGGGATTTCACCCCATAAAATGCGCGTTTACTGTAGTAAAACGACACGTTCTGATTTCCTTTTTGGCTCCAAATTCTAACTTTGAAACCAGGAATGTCGATTTTGTTGGTTGCCTAATCAATCAACTTGGTAGTGAATTACTCAGGTGGTGTCCGCTTATTTCCGGTCACAAGTGATCGGCGATGGTAACAGTCTCTGACTTTTTGTGTGTTAATCGGTGCTGAGAGTTCTAGATGCCGCCGTCTAGACTACAAAGTCTCAAAAATCCTCAATTTGTCAGCCAGGTTTTCGCTTATTTAACAACAACCGAGCCGCCTAGATTCTGTAAATTAAATATTAGGGATATATGGTCTTTCAAACTACCTGACAGTAAGCCGATTTCTCAAACTTTTACTATATAACCAAAATCGGGCGCTATTTGACACAACTCGAAGTGTTTTAGCACATGTAGGCGTAATCTGTTTAAATTTGTGGTCGATCAAGTAAAAACAGGTAAACAGTTGATTGAATTGAGCCTCCGGTGGGTAGACCTACGTTAGGTAAGCCTCCTAAAAACTGCATTTTGGAAATCATAAATGTCTTTAATGCTGATAAATCATTTATCGGTAGGCCCCAGAAGTGATATTAGGGCTTGGGAAACGATTATGGAGTGCGCTATCGAGTGGACGCATCTTGCAGCCAAAGGCAGTATCGTGAAAACAATGGCATTTAAAGGATTATGTTAAAATAAATTTATGAAGTAAAATGTGCCCTCTAAAAGCCAAATTATCTTACGCAAAAAGAGATATATTTTGTGCAAAGACGGGAATTTCGAACGAATGACTATCGGAATCCAATCAATATAATCTTTTGTTGCTTCTCGTCAAATGCTCTATATTGATTGTGGTATTTCAAAATTTATATCTGACCCTATAAAAATGTTTATATGATCTAAGTAATAATCTCGTTAAACCACTGTTCGATTGTTTAAATGAAAATTTGGTAAAAAAACTTACTCAGTCCAATAAATTTACATGAGTCTGAAGTGGGAAGCATTTTCCACAAATTTATAATCCCTGTGGAGCATAAAGCGATTGAAGATTGACAATGTCCCAGGGTTCTCAACTTCCACGTTTTTCTCCTGCGTATATTTTAGCATATTTTCCATGTAAGTAGCAGCAATATTTCGAAGTTTTGAAGAGACCTATCCTAGCAATTCAATTTCCGACGATGGGGACTCCTAAATTCTGTATCGTTATCAGTAAAATTTCCTATGGATGGTCATTTAAATTTGGTATTCGAATATCCAACTAAGTAGTAGGGGAAAATCTTATATGGGTTCTGTAGCTAGTGGAACTTGAACCAATTTTTAGCAACATAGCTGTGGGAAATAAATTCTGGTGTTCTCCACAAATAAATTTAGTGAAAGTAAACCTTTAACAAATTTGTATGCCTTCTGTTCGATTCATTTAATGACTAGATTTCACTACCGTTTATCCCAAGTAAGTTGGTAGTATCTACAAATTATTTAGTGCACTTTATTTTACAACTTCTTCAAACGGCCCTATTTGAAACTTCGTGTCATTAAGAGACTAGAATTAAATATTTAATTTAATCGGGATACTTTTTGCTATGGTCTTGGAACCTTTTTAGCTTTAAGTTAACAAATTGGAATTCTATTCATTAAATACTCACAAAAAAGCCCTCCCTAATAACTATTGGCCTTGATTTTATCAACGCCTTATTCATCTAAGTGAATGAGTTAATAAATCCAATTTTTTCAAAATTGAAATACCTAGTAAAAATTTTGCATATCAGAAAAAATCAGACAATTACAAAAAACAGTTTTAACTATTTCTAAGGTTCTGTTCAATCTTTTTTGAGCTTAATGAATTATGTGTTGAGCATCTTCAATGAAAATATTTTTTAACAAATTCAAGTTTACAGCCCCTATCAGTGTTAATAAATAGGAGCCGTTAATCATTTTGCCTGAGATTTAGGTGTGTAAATCAAGCAAATCAATAAGTTCTCTCTAATCAAATTGAAATCATTCTGAAATTAGGAATGACCTTGAATGTAGATTTCGAATTTCAATTTCACGCGATCTCTTTACCTCGTTGCTGTCGCCCTAATTCTGGCCATGTGGTCTGTATGCAAGGCCGTGAATAATATTGTGGAAAATGTCTTGGTTAATCGCAGAGTTGACCAACTCATGGAATTTGAAACTTCTCTTAAGCGAAATAGGGCATCTTTTCTATCACCAATAAGCAATCCGGTATGCACATGATGGTTTACAATCTCCTAAAATTGCGTTGCTTACGATTGTATTTACGATGATATTTACTGGATGTCACATTTTCAGACTCACATCAACATGCTTCTGACCACACATACTGGTTGTGTGTAGAGATATATTCTTAGTGGTTGCTGAATTAGTAAGATATGAATGCAATTTTATTTCTTCGTTCATTGATGTAGAACGTCATTCTAAAACGTTTTATTCTCTTTATTGGCGACGGCTTCTTCCAATTGCTTCTAAGTCGTCTTAAGTAGTTAGCCTGCTATTCGCATGCATTTAGCCGTGTTATTCTTTGGACACACTATCATTGTCTTTCAAATTTCAGTCCAAATCAGTCGATGACAGAAGGTCCGTCAAAAAAGCCGATGTGGAGGCAATTGCCATTCCTAGCTTATCTCAACGAATTATACTTACTCAGGACCTTATCGAAGAATCATGTTGTCTCAGCGATCTCTTTGACCTGAATGAGATCACCGCTTTAGAACTTGTACTAACAGCCGAAGGCCATCTTTCATCACAAACTGGTGGATTTAATC